CATAACCATGAGTCTTCACTCATTGTCATGAGACATTTGTCACTTCTTAACGATGCTTCATTCAAGTCTAGCATATAGACATTGTTCACTCTTAGGCCATTAAACATACTCTTCTTTTCATCATTATGCACAATTTTGCAACACTATTTTGAAAATGATACATTGTATCTTTTGTCGCATAATTGGCTAATGCTAATTAGATTATGTTTAAGACCCTCGACAAGCAATACATCAGATATAGTAGTGGAAGAAGGGTTACCTACATTACCTTTACCAAGTATTGCACCCCATTTGTTATCTCCATAGGTTACATACCCTTTCTTCTTTGACACGAAGTCGATGAAGAGGGATATGTCTCCTGACATGTGTCTTGAGCATCCACTATCGAGAACCCATCTTCTCTCGGTGGTCTCGAGACATTGTACCTAAGAAAAAATAATTAACAAGAGAAGGTACCCAATGGCTTATTTGGCCTAAGTCGTGAGTGACAAAGTGGTTGCATTTGGGCAACTATTGATAGATGCCTTTAGGAATCAAGAATCTCCTAAATCGGCATTTAGCAATGGAATGGCCTTTCTTGCAACAATATGGACAAGAGAAGTCAACATTTGGATTACCTTTGCTATCATTATCTCTTATCACATATTTGTATTTTTGGTATGGGTTAACCATACTTTTTTGGAAATTTGATTTATCGATGGCAAAGGTAATTTTAGGCTCTAGAGCCTTGTTAAGTTTGGCCTTTAGGTTTCTAACTTTACCTTTCAAAATATAACAAGTATCACACCCATAGTTGACTAATCTACTTCTAAGATCCTCACAACCCGCTTTAGTATTTTCCACCATGGATGCCTTAAGTGTCTCAAGTTTCCTTTCAGACTCTTGTATTTTGTGCTCTAGGTGAGCAAATATTTGATTATTTAAGGAAAGCCTTTTAAAGGCTTGTTTCGCTTCACAAGGCAAAGTATTAAATGTGGCTTGTAATTCGAAATGTGACATATTAGAGGAGTTTTCATATTTAGAGTGTCGTACCTGTTTTTTCTTGTTCTTTTGGTGAGCGGAAAGACACAAATTCACGAATTCTTCTTCATAACTTGAGCTTTCATCTTCGGAGGAGTCACTATCGCTTTCCCAATCTATATATGCTCTTCTCGGCTTTGATGGCTTCTTATGTGATCTATTAGAGTCTTTTTCTATGCCCTTTTTGTTCAAATGACAATCCGGCTTGTAATGACCGGTCTTTCCACAAGTGTAACACGATCCTCTAGTTTTATTCCCCTTGGTATCATCATTCTTAGAGTACCTATTTTGCTTTCGGAAGTTAACAAGATTCTTCTCGGAGTGTTATTCTTTCTCACATAGCGGTTGTAACGCTTTACAAATAGCCCCATGTCCTCACTCTTATCATCTTCTTCATCATCACTTGACGAACAATCACTATGCTCCTTAGATTTAGACTTCGAGGATGAAGTCTTGAGAGCAATGGATTTCTTTTCAGTTATCTTTGTTTTGTCCTTCTTTTCTTTCTTTTCATGTTGCTCTAGGCTTAGGAGCACTTGTTCATGTTCTTTTAGCTTTCTGAATAATGTTATTAGATCCAAAATTGTAAGGTCGTTGGTTTCTTTGATGGCGGTTACCTTCGGCTGCCATTCCCTGTTAAGACATCTTAAAATTTTGTTAGTAGCAACATCATTGGCCACCGACCTACCTAGTGAATGAAATCTATTGATGAGATGAGTAAATCTCTTTTACATGTCCGCAATGGTTTCCCCTTGCTCCATGTAAAAGAGATCGAACTCTTGTGTTAGTATGTTGATTCTAGCTAGCTTAACATCATTAGTCCCCTCATGGGCGACTTGTAATGAGTCCTACCTAGGTTTTTCCGTAAGACAATGGGAAACCCAATAATATTCATCTACTCCTAATGAAGAGATTAGAATATTCTTGGCTTTCCAATCATAGTTGTATTTATTTTCATCATCACCCGTCCATTGTGCTTCAGGCTTAGGCACAATCTCATTATCCGCATTGGTCATAGTTATTTCCATTGGACCATTGAGAATAACATTCCATACTTTTCTATCTATGGAATTAATGTGCACCCGCATACAGTCCTTCCAATAACTGTAATTTTCTCTATTAAAAACGGGAGCTCTATTATAAGCCCCTTTAGGTTCGTTAGCCATTTTCTATCAAAGTTATACTTGAAGCACGGAGTTAACCGGTGCTTCTGATACCACTTGTTAGACGATGGCGCGGATCTAAAGGGGGGGGGTTGAATAGATCAAAATTAAAAAAATCAGTCGGCGCTTACCAATTAAAAATTGGTTTTAAAAAAGTTTTAAATGCGGAAGCAGTCGTGGAAGAATTACTGTCTATAACGAACCGTTATTAGAAGACCGGATATGCGTCTAACCTATGGATATGATAATGAGCAAATAGATTCAACACACTAGTCACACTATCAATTGATTATACCACTAATTAGTAAGACTAGTTCCAATGCTACACAATGCCCACAAAATACGTAAACAACACAAGTGAATTTTGGTGTAGACAATTTATCAAACACTTGGCGTGGGAGGCACTCCAAGTGAGTTTTGACTTGAGTAAGTAACTCTAGGTTCCTTGTACAATATACTTATTATACTAGAGTTAAAACAGTGGTAAGTACTTACTCAATCCAATGCTAACTTTGATAAAATTGCTTATACTAAAATTACTCAATTATTAAGCAAAAATGAAAGTGCAGAAAAATAAAGGAGACAAAGATTTGTTGAGGCAGTTCCCCCGCCGTCCTCGCTTCAGGGTACGTCTGCCCTCAATTCTAATAATAGAATTGAGCTCAATATAATAGATATCACCTGTAGAGTTGAAACATTTATACAAGGATAGATAAGCAAAATATACAAACAAGCTCTCTTGATGTTGATGATGCTTTCTCTCCTTGTTCCTTGATTCGAGTCGAATCAAGACCTTCGGTTGTTGTGGATAGACCTCCGATTCCAACCCCTTTGTTGAACAACCTTCTGTTCTTCAAGCCCTCGGCCCGACTGATCTCAAACACCAACGAATCGAACCCGAACCTCTTTTGCCCACTTCACCGATTCCCGCTACTAGATTGACGAAGCCCGCCGCTTCTCAATCACCTTCGCTCGGCTGAAAGTTGATGAGACAATTCGTACCAAAACCCCCCAAATTCAATCGAATCTTGGAGGACAAAACCCTTAAGGTTTTATTCAAGAAAAACCTGCCACAAACTCAACCCGAACCGGATTCCCAATCGACGGTCTCAAACGTTATCACCTTGAACGAACCACAAAGCACACCAAGAATTATTGTGTATAACGGTTGTGTTGTGAGATGTTGAGGATGAAGATGAAGAGAATTGATGGCACCTATTTCACTTTTCTTGTTGGGTTGCAATTGACTCAATGTTTCAATTGTTATTAAAGAAATGAACAAAAACTTCTATTTATAGTAACCCAAGACCAACAGACTTAACCAATTTTCAAACAAAGTTGAAAGTCTTCAGCAACTGCAATAACGAGCGAACGATCGACCATAGCAGGACTATGCATCGACGCATAGCCTACAGTTTCAGACAATTTCAAAAGCTTAACAGCATGCGTCGACCATAGGTCAGCGTGCGCCGACCCGTGGGATTTTGTACTGCATCATGCGCTAACCATGCGTCGACCTGTGGTCGACTCAAAACCTGCAAATCTACAAAAATACATATTTTTGTGGATTTTTTGCTTCCAGACTTAACCTATGATCTTCCACCTATATTGGACTCAATATGGCAAGTTAGATAGACATAAGAGTGATATGAAAGGTGTGATATGCATTTGCCTTGTGGTGATAGAGTCGAAAAACCGATTCATCCATGATTGCGTTTTGTCATCATCGAAACCCAAGTATGTATCATATATGAGGATTTGCCCTCACAACACACGCGCGCGCGCACTCACGCGCATATAATTTTTAAATAGTAGAAGACTCTACAATTTTCAATGGTGAAATAATTAAAGAGTGAATTAAGCTTTATCGAAAACAAATGAACTGAAACACTATAAATTTGTACATTTTTCTTCTCCAACCACTTTTACACTTCTACATAATATTATATGTTTTAAAGTTGTTTTATCTTTTAGAATATCATGCTATCTAGATTGTTACCTTGTCTATAGTGATTTATTGTATAAATTTAAGTTTGTGATGAATTTAGTTAATTGATTATTCCATTTTTGATTATGATTGTATAAAATCTTATCCTCAAATTGAACAACAATTTGATCTTAATCATTTTTGAAGTGCAAAAATTGAATTACGGTCATTGTTACATTGCTTGTCAAAACAACTTTATCTATCTTGATTGTGTTGATTTTTTATTTTCTCATGTAGTTTTGATAAAAATTAAAACATACTATTTTTAGGTGAACACTTGATACTCTTAAATTTAATTAGTTATTAATACTCTCATCCAATAAAATATTCTTATTCAATACCATGTTATTTTTTTAATATATTTTATTTAAAAATAAATTAATATTTTAAATCAATTTACACTAAAATACTAATACTCAACCAGACACCTAAAAAATTACCCTATTTTTAAACCATCTACTAAATTTTGCTACGCATCATTTTATTGAATTCTAACTTTATAAAATAAAATGTTTTTGAAAATGATTTAAAAATGATAGGTCATTCAACCTCCCTTATAGACCATTCAATTTCTATATTCTCCACCAACACCCACTTTATAGCACCAAAACATAGAAAAAATATGGTGGTCAACACCATTCACAAAAGGAAGTAAGAAACTATGTAAATACATTCACATATTCGTAAAGGAAAATCAAAGTGAGGTTTAAAAAGCAAATTTGAACTGGCTTGGTAGGTATGATCCACTACAAACCTTATTTTACATTAAGAAATAACTCATCCTAATGTAGCAGAGTTTTTGAATACAAAACAAAATGAAATATCACAAATTAGAAGTCAACAAACTTTTTCTCTCTTAAACTTTCTATTATCTCTCTCAGGCTCACTTCTAATGGAATAAATTCAACTCCTAACTTCTTTGCCTTCTCTTTAGAAACTTGAAATATTTGCATCAATGGCTTTTCATCTGCACACCTGATAACACAGTTTATTTACAGAGTTAAAATATGTGTTAAACAATTAGAAGAAAAAAAAATATTTTCTTATAAATACATCATAGGGTTTAACTGAATAATAAAACTTACTTGTTCGGAATTCGCAATGTTGGATACATATCACGTAAAATCTTAATAAGTTCAGAGAAATGTATCACTCTTTCAACCACACAATATCTTCCGCTAGCAGAAGAATTTTCATAGGCCAGAATATGCGCATTTGCAACATCCTTCACATTGATCCATCCAAAAGCAGCATTCATAAATGTTTCTGATCCTGCATAACACAATATTAGCCATGTTTGCGTGCGTTCGTAACATAAACACAGATAAAGTTTGTAAAAAATCTTCACCAGCAAATAAAAAATACCATTTATTAAGTTAAGAATCAAAGTAGAACTATCGTTAAGCTCCGGTTGCAAGAGAGGCCCTAACGCCACAGCTGGATTCATAACAACGAAGTCAATATTGTTTTCTGTTAGAAATTTGTTAGCAGCTTCCTCTGCTGAAGTCTTTGCAAATTGATACCACATCTGAAATACAGTTATCGTAACAAGTACAATTGCATCATAATTATTACTGCTCAATAATTTTCTAGTAAATTGGAAAAGAGGTGCATGATATAGTTCTACACTTCTACCTTATTTTCCAATAAGAAATCTGAACTTGAAAACCATGTCTCATCAACTACAACTTCCGGTGTTCGAGGCGTGCCGTTGTATAAAGCCGTGGCAATAGAAGAAGTTAAAACAACTCGTTTAACTGATGCCGATTTCGCACATGACTTCAATACATTAAGAGTTCCCTTCACAGCAGGATCAATTAACTGTGTCTGAATATAAGAAAACACAAATATTAAAAAATGAGTACGCAAAGGAAACTGATATGATATAATGGTTAATACAAATAATCTTACCAGAGGGTCCTCGACAACGAAATGAACCGGCGAAGCAGTATGAAAGACACCATGACAACCGTGAATAGCAGAATCAAATGAGCCTTCTTCTAACAGATCCGCCTTAAAGAGTTGCAACCTTTCCTTTGCACCATCAAGTCTAAGCAAGTGTTCGACCTTATTTGGATTACTGATATTACGAACAGTGGCTCTAACAGTGTAACCACGTTGGAGAAGAAACTTAACAATCCATGATGCAATGTAACCAGATGCACCAGTGACACATACCACCTTTCCTTCTTCACTCTTATTCATTATTCCTCTCAACTTCTTTCTTATCGGTAGACAATGGTAGTTGTTTTATTATTGTAAAGAGATAAGTTGGGTTTTTATAAATTTAAGGCAAGTGCACATAATGGGATTCCATATATTCTAAATTAATGCAGGAGGCACACCAAGTTTGACATGGTCCAAGGCAGAAAGTGCGACCAACCCACAGATTGCTTCTTATTAAACAAATACTTTCCTCCCATTCCTCGGTTGTTGCATTGCATGAGACTCATTGTTTAGTTATTTCTGGTCAATTCAGCATGTGGTATGGTACCTATAACTTGGCTTATTCAAATTTAAAATGATTTGCTTGCTTTCAATTGTCAGTACTCACCACACAAGTTCCAAGATTCCTAGATCCGATGGTATTAATTTTGGGTTTATTAAAGAGTTTCGGGAGGTGATTAAGGAAGACTTTTTTTAGAAGTAATAAAGAATTTCAATCAAATGAGTGATTGGTTCGAGTAGCTAAATAGTTTTTTCCTAACTTTAATTTCAAAAGATGAAAATCCAGTGAAGATGAAGGATTTTAGACCCATATGACTAATTGGATGCATGTATAAAGTGCTTGCAAAACTTCTAGCAAATCGATTAAAAAGGTGGTTCATAAGATATTATCAGAGTGTTAATTCGCCTTTTTGGAGGGATGCCAAATGTTAGATTGTAACTTTTTTTATAGCAAATGAGTTAGTTGATGACGTTAAGAGGAGAGGTAAAGAAGAGTTGTTATCTAAAGTAGATTTTGAAAGGTGTACGATTTAGTGGATTGGAATTTCCTTGATTATATGATGATTAGAATGAGATTCAATGAGATATAGAGAGTTAGAATTTTTGAATATTTGAGAACTGCAATAGTATTGGTGTTTGTTAACACGAGCAGTACAAAAAAATTTCTAATGCAGAGATGCTTGAGGCAAAGTGATTCTCTATTCCCTTTTTTATTTTTGATAGTGGCAGAGGGTGTCAATGTAATGTATGCCAAATGCGTCCAATTGAATCTCTTTGACAAGTACCAATTTGGAAAGGGAGAGGTGAATGTTTTCCTCATCCACTATGCAGATGGCACAAATTATACTAGGCAAGAAAAGTTGAAAGAATATTCGGGTGATAAAGGAAATTCTTCAACGGTTTGAATTAGGATCCGAGTTGAAAGTAAATTTTCATAAGAGCTAATTGGTATAAACATTCATTATTTCTGATTGAAGGAGGCTTTGTGTAACACTCTAAAACTCCGACTCACAAATTAAAAGAGAAAATCCACAATCTAGGATGCTACTCAAACATGACATAAATACTTTCTAATTACTTTCAAAACTTCAGCAGAATTCAAAATAAATAGCATATACTTCAATTATCTCAACAAATTGAAATACTCAATAAATTTAACATGATCCAACGATTAACTCAAAACAAATAAAACGCCTAATTCCCGATGTTACAGATCAGAGCATTAAACCAACTAAATAGCGATAAAACGATAAAATAAATGAAAAAAAGCTCCAAGGTCATCTTCTAACTCACAATAGCTCTTACTCCTCATGAGTATCTATACACCAATGTAGAGAGCAACACAAAACAAAAAAGAAAGAGTTGAGAATATGCTCAAATATATTAATGGTGTAAGAGAATGCAAGGGTAGCTTAAATCATACAATCAACAACACACATTCAATTACACATCAGTACAACAATCCATTTCACATAGCTTTTATGTATGCAATGTAACTCACAACTCAACTCTATGCATGTGATACCCATTTGGACATTAGAGGTTTGTTACTGATCTCGTCCACTCAACAATGGTTCCTCATTTGAATCGGGTCCCCACTTTTGAACCTCAGATCCCCACTTTTGAACCCTGAACGATCATTAGTCTCCACTTTTGAACCAATGACTCGTCTCTTTCAACACATCGACACAAAATAACTCATGACATACAAAGAAATCGATAAGCCTAGTAATAGGTCGTTGATTACCCTTAAGGATGTCCAATATGTATATAAAGAAGTCTAGTTTGCGCTATTAAAACTTTCTCGTATCTATTTCTATCAAGCTTTTTATGAAACTACCTCAGAGTTCCTCTAGCATATAACATACTTATTTTCCAATTTTCTCAAACTTAAGCCCTTAATCTCTATTTTCACGTACAATTCCATTACCTTTTCTTCCCTTTTCCCCTTTTATGGTGATAATTAGGGATTTAGACGAGAACATAGGTTGGTGGAGCCCTCTAACATTAGATATTGGTCTTCAATGTACTTGCAATGCACGAGGAATTTCAAACGGGAGGATGGCTCTGTTAACTATAAAATCTTAGATTTAGGTGTTTTTAGGAGTTATGCGAGCACTAATAGTTTTGATAGTGACTCACTTTCTTCGTGTTCTTTACCAGGAAACTTCTAGTAGTTGATGGCGACTTTAGATGCTAAGTTCTCTAATGTTGAAGATTTATAAAACTTGTATACAAGTGCATATATGATTTAGGCATTTTGGAAAAAAAATTGGACTCTCCAATATTGATCATGAAAAAGACATAATTTTGGAGGCGTGCTACGAAGAAGAGAAACCTAACATGACCACCCTTAATGACTCACCTACCCCTGATTTCTATCTATATCTTCTTGTCATTCATGATTTACACATTTTAATCCCTGTTGAAGCGGTAAAGCAGCAAGCAAAAAATATTAAGTACCCAGTTTTGTCGTCTCCACAGGGATCAGTGCGATATGAACGCCGTTCAACGACCTCTACATTTCTAAGCTCATTGTTCAAAAGTTTTGGTTTAAAAGGTTCAAGGAACCATAGATAAAAACAGAAAATATAAATTAAAGACTGAAATATAAACAGATTCTTGTTGGGATTGGATCTCATCAATTGATAACATATGCATTCTTCTGATCAAATTAAACACAACGCAATCATTCGTCTAATACCCTTACGTATCATCCACGACAAAGCTTATCTCTAACGCAGTATTGAGAGAACAACCATGTTGTCTCATTGGTGATCTCTCATCCAACAAAAACACAACACAGAGCATTACAAACTGATACTAACGCAAATGCTAAGCCTAAACCTATCTCTAGCATTTATGAGCTAATAGATAATCATCCTAGATCCAGATCTGAAGAGTATATCTCTATCACGGTTCAAATCAAAGATAAACAGGTAAACAAAGACGACACCCATATCGGATAAAAGATTGTTTTGCATAAAACACAATGATCAAAATACGTACACACACTTAACCCTTTTTACATGTATTCACCTAATTTGCCAAATGGTTGTGAACATCGTTCTTCATCACTATTATCACGCACCCGCACAATATCGCATTGATCCTACTCATGCTACCCATGCTACTTAATCAATACAATACCAAAGAGGATACAATGAATATCAACATACAAAACCATGTCAAAAGTTTGTTGATAGAAGAAAATCTGAGATAAAAAATGTGAAAAGGTTTTGTCAAGACCCACAAATACATAATCAAAGATAATCAATCAATATAGAATCCAAACTAGCTCACAAACATATATTAGATGAAATGCATAAGGTATCAAAAGATTACATCCAAACCCCAACAAGAGATCAAAGATATTACCTCCTCCCTCTTAGGGTTTCTCTCTCTACTTGAAATGAAGAGAGATAAGTTCTGATGTCTAAAATATTACATAATAGAATATTCTCCTAAAAAGCAATAAAAACACTTAAATAGAACATTCATGATCTGTCATGTTCGCCTAGCGAACAGTAAGTTAGGCACGTGAGGTGCCTCTGAACAGTCAAACCGCCCCTGAGATATTTCCAAATATTCGCTAGGCGAACAATTCTTCGCCTAACAAAGACTTCGCTGCGAGCTTCGCCTAGTGAGTTTATGGTCCTTTCTCCCCTGCCTCAAGTCTAGGAGTGTTTGCTAGAGCTTTGTTACCACTTCGCCTAGCAAGTCCTTCACTTCATAGTTCGTCTAGCGAACTTCATGATGTTCTGGAGGGAGCTTCGCTAGCAAGTTCGCCTAGCGAACTTGCTGTTGTTTGCATGCCGTCTTGGTTTCCTTGCTCATTTCTTGTGTCTTACTTTTCACTTGTTTTGTGCCTAATTCCTGCACAATAACACACAAATCAAAGGTACCAAGAGGTTTTCTCATAATGTTGCAAACCAACCAAAGCAAGAGTGGTTTTCAACACTTTCTTGACAAAAATGAGTGAAAGATGCCAACATTTGATAGATCAAATAAGCAAAATTTGGCATATAACAATCCCCTATACACTATTTTTAGCTGAGGTTCTAGCGACTACAAGCGTTGCCCCTTCCTAGATTACCGCCAATGGATGGAACATGATTAGGGTATTCGGAACCATATGTCGTTGGTTAGAAGTTTTACCCACCATAGACATGTTCTTCTCTTTCTATGGTACTAAGATAGGTACCGAAGGTAGTTGGGCGACTTTAAGCTCCTTATTAGAAATAACATTGTTCAAGCCTTATTCTAACCACTACAAAAACTTAAAATATAGTTTAAGAGGATTAGAGGGCGAGAAACTGCCTTCATGATCACGACTGAGGTAGATGGCGCTTCTCGCTTCCCTTTGTGTTGGATGGAGGATCCAATAAGAACATTTGTTTTAACTTTGACAACCTCACCCCTGTTGAGAAAGAGATGGTGCAATTTTTGGATGAGTTCAAAGTCGATTTATCACACTATGATTGCCCTAGACTGGGAAGAGGAAGGCGAGATAGACAAATACATGAGTAAGTTTATGGTCATGGAGACCCGTATTTTGAAATTATTCATCTGCCATGTTGCTTATGCTTTTCTTATAATTTTTTATAGATACAACATTTTCGATTCCCCTGCCTGAAAGAAAGGAGCACCTAGCTAGCAATAACATTGAGCGCCAGACAATATATAGTCATAGAGTCACCCAAGCAGCCTAATGGAAAAAGAGCAAAAAAGACATGTGGAAGGCCACACCCCTTATG